TATTCTGCTCTTTGCGGCTGGGGATGATTCTTGGCAATCAAATATGGCATAATCACGACGAGCTTATACCTGCTCTTACTATTAATTTTGACACGAGACCGTGATACGTTAATGGTTGTGCGAATCATTATGAAGACGACTAGTTCGAACACTGGGGATCCTAGAGCCCTGATGTCTCTTATACACATGGGTTCCCAAGCTCAGCGACTGACTTCAGACTGCGGCAAGCAGAGCCATGCCGGCAAGTCCTAGAACAAGCCTATCCGCAGCCTGCGTCGGTATAGCGCCACTGTCCTCCTCCGTAGGGTTAACCTCCTCAGTGGCCGTACCGCTCGTCTCCGATTCGTCGGCTGCCGAAGTGGTGGTACGTATCTCCTCTCCAGAGTTGCTGGCAGTGCCCGTGGTCGGTGTTTCAGAGAAGGGCGGCGAGTTCGTGGTCGTAGCCGTCGCGCTTGCCGCGTCCCCAGTGACCGTGCCAGCGCCTTGGTCGCCTGTCGCTGTGTAGTACAGGCTGACGTCTGTCTCGCTGACGAACTGATCTGTTGCGCCGGTAGCACCATTGGACACAGGTGTGGCAACAGCCTCGGCTGAAGCGAAGAGGCTGGCGAACGGCGCCGTTGGGTTGCCGTCGCAGAGTGCGTTAGAGGCGGCAGCCAGTATGCCTTCGTAGCGGTCGACCTCGCTCCCAGAACGGAGGCCGTGAACAAAGTGGCAGCGCTCACACGCCAGCTTTTCGGGAAAGAATGAGCCGTTGCACATGCACTGAGCGTGCGCCTCGTAGTGAATGGCGTCAGTGCCGTTGCTGAGGCATGCGGTTTCAATGATTTCGATGCTCACACATGGTGGCAGGTCATCTTCAGGCGACGTCTCCGGCTTGCAAACAATGTCCTGGTAGGGGATGTCGTCGTCACGGGCGAGCAGTTCGTTCGGCGCGATCCAGGCGAGAGCCGTCGGGAGACTTGCTGCGAAACTGACGAGAACAGCTTGTTGTTTCATTGTTAAAGTTACAGCCGAATTTGTGAGCTTGTCGCGAGTTCACAGCAATTGACGAGGGCACACAGCGAGGACTTTTTAAGAGGAGAGACGACCACAGCACAAGACGGGCGGGATTTGGATGACTCCGACGACATCTTGGCTGTCGCTTGGAACAGTTTTACTGGTGCCAACATGCTAGCAACAAGATTAGAAAAGCTCCCCAATATGGCTTAACTCACTTGGACGCATGTGTGCCCAGAGATAGAAATGACGAGAACTACAGGAAAGTAGAAGCTGCGCCGCTGGCCGGCGTTTCTTGGCGGTCATGACCTTGAGTGAGGACTTGACGCTGCAATGTGAACCAGCGGATTGACGGCGTGCTTCATAAGCAAACAGTTCGCGATGACACCGGCTTTCTTTCTCCTTTTGTAGAGTTCTGTGTACCGCCTCATATTAGGACGCCAACTGGTGATGGAGCTCCCAACGCTGGGTTAATTATAATAAAGGGATGGGAGCGATCACCGTCCAGATCGCCACTGTGGAAATGGTAGATATTCAAAAGGGTGGCCATAATGCCTTGCATTGGCTTCCTCCTCATCCAATCCGTGGATATTCGCAGCCCGCGACAATGCTTGGCCGCCTTTGCTGTTGGGCTGGTGGTGTAGTTCGATATCGAGCAACATAACCAGAGACCAGTGGGGCTACTCGGAGCCTTTGTGAAGTCCCGTGATCCAATACGCATGATTCTGCCTATAGGCCACCAACTTTAGGTGACATGGGAACTTTAGGTGACATGGAAACTTATTCTCGAGCTGACGTATACGTATATCAACACCATCATCCGCAAACGGCATGGGCATGCCGGTCTTCACAGACCGACATGCGGTAAGTGGGAAGAGTATGTAGTACTGAGCCGTGGAGGTCTACAAAGAAGCAAGTCCGAAGGGATGCTATTCAGTGGAAACCTTTTGCATATGCCCCAAAGGAAGTTCGGGACGCGTAATCGGTCAGAAAATAGTTCATGAGCGTCAGGATCCACGAGGCACCAATGGCGTAGTACGTGCTGATGTAGCCCATGATGGTGATCTTGCGGTAGAAGGCGATGTTGGACATGAGGAACCTCCTGAAGAGGGGGGGTCAAAGGTCCGCGCACGAACCACAGACGGAAGGGATGGAAGAGGAGCCCGTTGACACCGAAAGCATACTTCTCCCACCGAGCCGACGGTACTGGAGGTGGACACCGTGCAGCTTCACAAGTAGGCCCAGCAGGACGTGATGGCTGGATCGGAGCCTCGTGGTGTGATCCGGGAACGGCGGGCCACGTGCATTCCAGGCAGAGGCGGGTTGCTGAAAAGTCTAACAAGGTGTGTAAACTGTAAATAGCAAACAATTCTCGAGAAACCCAAAGTCACGCTCCCGAGTCATGGGGAAAGCGATGGACCTGTATGGCTGAGAAAAAAAAAGCCAATCGGGCGGGCTTTTGGCTGCAGAAGTGGCCGCTGTTTTGTCGGACAGGCCCTGATTCGGACCCCTCGATTGTTTGGATATGGTGGCACGAGGACCAGTACGTCGAACCTTGAGAGTGACGCCTCGTACGTCTTAAGGGGAGAGCCATAGGTAGCCTGATATTGCAGCTATTGGTGCCGCACCATCCAAAGTGCCACCGCCAGAGAGCAAGGTTGTTGATGGATCGGTCTGTGGAAAGAGCAAGATGGTAGGACCCATTTGATTCCAAGTACTGCAATCTTCTCGAAAGACAGGAACTTGGGCAGGAAATCTCTCATCGAGAGTCATCGAGAGTTTGTCATGGTGCTGCAGCCGCCGCGATGGCCTGGTGCGAGGACATGGAACCAGGAAAATACAAGCTCAAACAATCGCGGCCTCGAGAGATGACAGGGCAGGCAGTCCTGGCTGGCAGAGCCGGCACAGAGACCTCATTTCGCGGGGAGATGCGAGATAGATGAGCGAATTGCAGGGGATCCAGGAACCCTCCCCGTCGTGATCATCGTCCTGAGTGAGTCTGACAGCAATAAACCAGGACAAGGGTTGCTGGTTAGGATTGCAACTTGGCAGCTGCCTTGAATTAACTACTTGCAACCGATGAGGACGAATCAGGTCTTGAAGACAGTCAAGCTGGTGTTTCGCGAAACGTATCTGCCGGCGCCTCCGCGTAATGACAGCGTGCAAGGCCGGTGGGGGAAATGGCGTCCAGAAGATGAGGCATCGTTCCAGATCCTTCCCATCCTGCAGTGGAAACCCGATTGCCCTCGAAGATCGGCGCCCCCACCGCCACGGTCTAGACGCGCAACTTTGGTATATTCCCAGGCACGAAGAGGTTAGCAATCTACCTATTTCCTCTTGAGAGATGTGTTTTGCGAGCTGTGCTCTTGGCACTGTTGGCCGACGAAGCCCCGCGTGTGGTGGGACAAAGAATGGGTTCTTTGCCCCCGAAGCTGCAGAGGACTGAGTCGACGATGGGCGAAAGTTGAGCTGGCGGTTTCAGAGACCAGCCAGCCATCCCACCGGCTGAGTAGCGCATCGGGGCATTGTGGGCTGGTGGCCCTCTCTGCGTGACGTAGCGGCTTCCGCGACGAGCAGAAGAAAGTTCAACGTCCCGGTGGCGGAGACATGAAAACACGTGTCGAGTGACAAATCTATGGGCGAGACAGGATGGATGGGGCCTCACGGAACCAACTGTGTGTGTGTGTGTGTGTGTGTGTGTGTGTGTGTCCCTCTGGCTAGCGCGGCTGACAACAGATGCGAGGGTTCAGGATTGTATTCCGCAAGTGCCGACATCCAGGATCACGTCAGCACTCTTTGCAGCGAGAGAAAGAGAAAATGCAAGCCTCGGCGATGTAACAGTTCACTGCTGCTCTCCCGTCTCGCCTGCCGGTCTGGGGTTCAAGTTTCGATGTGTGGAGGGGGGTCGGCCTGCTCAGGGCGCTCGAGTCAAAGGGAGCTGGACTGCAAGAGGGCGCGGGCAACGCACGTCCGTCATGTTCCCTGGGCCTGGCGCTTTGCACAGACCGGAGTTCGAGGGAGGCGGCGTCGGAGTGTGGATTTCGTTCGCGCGTAGTAGCGGCACATTAGGATGGTTGTAAGGGGGGCGAGACGACCATGAGACTGCCAATGCCTTTCCTCACTCACTACCTTGGTTATGGAAACTGGGATGCAAGGTCGAGAGGCATGGCACCAAAGTTGTTGAGAGCGGTCCAGAACCAGCAAATGCAGCGAGTTCATGGCCCAAGATCCTCTGTTGGCTGCGTAATAAGCGTGGTCGTATACAGAAAGCGGGACATACAGGCAGGCAACATGTCTGTCGCTGGCCTTGAGTGCTTGCTGGGGCGGGGAGGGGGCCATGAAGATGATGCCGTCAACGATGCCGTGTCCGAACTACCGGGGACGACCCTGCAGCGAGTGCCGTCCCATGTCGTGGTAATACCAACGTCCTAATATCAGATAGAGACGCAAACAAGATGATGGGATGGCATGACAAAGAACGTGTTCACAGCGTGCCCAGGGCGCCCGAGGGAGCACGCGCAGCAGGCGCACCGAGGCTAGGTAGGAAGAGGAGGGAGGGGGAAGAGGGCTGTTTGCGTAGAAAGCAAGACTGGACGAACAAGGACCGCTGGGGCGGCTCCCCACCGAAATTGGAGCCGTTTCAGAGACAGTAGCGGGCCTGCTTAGTGGCGTCTAAGGGGAAGGAAGAACCCCCCTTAGTGGAGCCATCCTGCCCCTCCACCCCCTCTCTCGCCCCTGCCTTTCGGGAGGGTACCCTTGCAGCAATCAGGTGTGATTGCCAGATTGTCTGTGGCACCAATGCAAGGTACGGGCTTGCTTGATCCTGGAGATGAGATCATTGGGTGCAGACGGTTGGCTGACGCCGATGCTCTGCGAAAACAAGGAGAGGGGGTGGCTGCAGTGTCGACCGGGCAAGTACATCGTCGGAGCGCCGAGCCAAGAAAGGACTGTCTATCGCATGCCTGGCCCCCTATTCTCCTCGTATGCCGTTGGGCCCCCAGTTCTCAACGCTGGACTCGACCACCATCCTCATCAGCGACAACCTTCGGCATGGACATGATCATCGCCATGTTGGCTTGGAGGGTGGTTTCCCGATAGACGCTGTCGATGAACGTTGTCAGGGGGCTGCAAGACATGATACCGTCAGCCTGGTGATCATGTCTTGCCGTTGGCAGTGCAAACTTTGGCAACCTGGGCAGGATCGACAGTGTTGAACCAGTCGCGTCTTGCTGCCCGTGGATGTACCGTGCGTTGCTGACGGGAAGTACTGCTGTAGATCCTTACATGTAGCTCAACATGTGCCTCCTGTAGGAAGTTAGGTCACCTACCTCCCTAGGCTTGTGTGCGTTGCACGCTGTCCTGAAAGAAGCAGGAGGACCTCATCATGGCTAGGCTGTGCCTTTAGGCTCTGGCGTTGGCTCTCTCCCCCTTCGTGTTCACATTCGTGTTAGTTCTGCATCTCCGCCCGAGCGTTACCCAGACGCCTCTTCCTCCGACGAAACATCAGCTCGTCGGGGCTTCATACAGAATCATGGACAATGTGCTGTACTAAAGGCCTCCGTGCAACCACGGCGCTTCGTTAATTGGCACCTGACGACCACGGGATGGACTAAGAGTTGAGCGAGCTGAGTTGATTTGAGTAGGAGATGCCCAGGTACAAGTACCTGTGGCGGGATACATCAACGCCCCTCGGGGTGCACCATTTCTTTCCGGCAGGGGCATTTGCCCCGTGGCGCTCAGGGCACGAATCTTCATTGGTCAGCAGGGCATAGCTACACCCGCGCGTTCCTGACTTGCAGCGGGTACGGTCTGCAACCACACCCCTTCCCTTGGTGCCTGGGGAGGACTTGGCTTCGCCGAGCAGGTCGATAGTACCTAAGGTAGGTACTGTAGGTAAGGAACGACCCCTGGTTGTCGGAGCCAGCAGTGCAGCAAGTACCCAGCAACATGAGGAAGGAACAAGCAAAAGCACTCTCGGCTCTGCCGCCCCCCCCCAACTTCCTTCATTTCTCCGCAAAACGCCCACGGCCCAGGGACCCAAACAGTAGAAGGCCCAGAAGACCCAGACAGCCCAAACAACTCACACAACCCGGCCTCGACCTGTTCTGCAGCCCAAGATCCTAGTGTCGTCTGGCTCTCTCCGATCCTTTTTAGCTCGACGTCCGTCTCGCTTTTCCTCTCGTTCTGGACCCCTTCTTCTTCACCCTCCAGGAGAGACCGCAAATCCGACCTCAGTTCATTCCTTACACGGCCAATCGCCAACCACATTCCCTTCCAAACCCCTTTGGTCTCGGTCACCAAGTGTCTCTCACGACACGTTCCACTCCTTCTTAAAACCACCAGCACCCCTCAACCTCACCACCACTACCACCACCGCTCAGTCAGCCCGACCTCCGACGCCGACCTCAACTTCTTGTCACTCCTTTCTCTGCCACTTTCTGTCGTTCGCCCCCTGCCTCCGGTTGTCCCCCCAAGCAAGACTTGCGGCTTCCCTTCGTCAAACCATCCTTCACAGTCAGTCGTCGACGAAAAAAACGAAACTCGAGTCCCACTCTCTCTCCCACCATCATCAACGACCAGAGGTCCTAGACGGAACCGTATCAGCAGCGCTGCAACCAGAGCATCAAGACGGAAGATATATATCATCTCGTCCTCTCCACACTCTTCACCACACACACCCCCCTGGACAGGAAAGCCAGCAGATTTTAAATCATCACCACAAGAACCCACCCCCTCCAAGGTAAGCTTCCACTGATGATTTTTAAGCTTTTGGTGGTCTCTTTGTCTGCTTTCAGTCGAGTGCATTACGTGTTCCTGCAACGACGCTTTGTCTTCCCCTGCATGGCAGCATTATCCACATGGCGAACACAACCAGTACTAGAGAACCTGGCGATCGGAGTGTGCCATGTGAACAAAGGCCCTTGTTCATCCCTATCCTCCCTTCGTCTCCATCGCCACATGTTCATTCTCCACTTCACTGCAACATCAGGTGTCACTAGTCACCAAGCCGCTTCTCGCGCTGTTACCCTGAACAACACATTCCCCATTCCATGGCGCGTCCTTTGACCTTACGATGTCTCCCTAGTATCGTCAATTTCATTCCAGCCGATCATACTATTACCCCTTGCGCATCAGTCCAGATCCCAAATGCACAAAACACGAAACCGTCCTCCGCATTTGGAAGAATCGGTTCTCCAGTTCTGTACACTCCATCTCCACACTCACTACGTCCTACTCAGGCACCATCACTATCACTACAACCAACCCACTGTCTTTCCCACTATATAACACTACTCTCGGTCGTTTCCCATCGGCTCGCAACTCACTGATCGACATCTTGAAACAACGAAAAAGACCTAGTCTTCGCAGGCGAGGCTAACAACAAAAAAACAGATCAACCTCATTCTTTACCAAAATGAAGTCCTCCGTCGTTCTCGCTGTTGCCAGCGCCGCCATGGCCCTCGGTGTCGCCATCGACAAGCGCGCCATGGAGACTGTTTGGGACATCGACTACGTGACTGTCACCGTCACCGCTGGTGCTCCCGAGGTGCCCGCTCCCACTCCCGGCAACTTCTTCCCCGAGAAGCCCAAGAAGCCTGAGCAAGCCCCCGCTCCCGTCTTCTCCACCATCAAGGCTGAGCCCCAGCCCGAGCCCGCTCCGGCTCCTGAGCCCGCTCCGGCCCCCGAGCCTCAGCCTGAGCCTCAGCCTGAGCCTCAGCCTGAGCCCGAGACCGAGAAGCCCAAGGAGACCCCTAAGACGACTGCTCCTGCCCCCATTAGCGATGACATGCAGACCGCCGCCCTTGAGGCCCACAACATTCACCGTCTGAACAACTCTGCCCCTGCCCTGGTGTGGGGTTCCAACTACGCTGCTTACGCCCTGCAGACCGCGCAGACCTGTGTCTTCGAGCACGACCTGTCAGTAACCCCCCATGAATTGTTATCTGGCAGAAGATGATGCTAACATCACGTAGGACTCCTGGTGGCGGTGGCTACGGCCAGAACCTCGCCATGTGGGGCGCCACTGACGGCGACTCGCTCGGTGCCGCCAAGGCTGTCTCCCAGGCTACCACCAACATGTGGTACAACGGCGAGGTGAACCTGTACTCGCCCAACTTCTACGGTGGTGAGCCCGACATGACCAACTTCATGGAGTGGGGCCATTACTCCCAGCTTGTCTGGGTTGACACCACCACCCTCGGCTGTGCTGTCCATTTCTGCGAAAAGGGCACCATGGACCCCAACATGGGCGTCTGGTACACCGTCTGCAACTACTTCCCTGCTGGTAAGTTTGCAGATATCTGTTCCTTCTCGAACCAGTAATAATACTAATCGTTTCCAGGCAACATGCAGGGTTCTTTTGCTAAGAACGTGCTCCCCCCCGGCAACGCGCCGACCGTCACTGCCTAAGCGCAATCTTGTGTCAGGCCAAAATGGTGACCTCCTTCGCCCACCGCACAGGCGAACGTCTGTTATCTAGTAGTTCGCTGCATATCTGGAATTTCTGGTCGCGAGACAACTCTGGGTAGCAGGCGTAGGCGGAACGGGGAATCCAACTCATGGGCCGAAGCATCTTTCTCTTCCATTCGCTTCTTCTGCTGTACTTTATCAGGATCGCCGACAGCGTTCCCCCTTGAATCCACCCTTGCCCCTTGGAAAGGGTGGTCTTCTCGCACAATTGCGCATGCGCCGCCGAAAGAATGGCAGGCTTCTCTCCTTCGACGACGCCACCATGCATGCACCTTGCAGCACTCGCGTGACGAGCAACGGGCTATGAAGTTTAAAGGAGATGTTGTACGTGTTGAGTATTGCATTACGGGATTTTTTGATTTTTTTTTGGCGTGGAAAGTTACTGGTACAGGAGAAATTGGCGAGCGGAGAAAAGAATTCTGAACTTGATCGAGCGGTTTACTCGCGTCTTGAACCATTTCACTTCTTCGTAGAGCATATCCCTTGTTTCGCCTCTCGCCATTAGGAGGCCAGACTCCGGAAGCTCTGTCGTTCTGTTATCTGATTTGCGGTTTTGTTTCTTCGAACTGGCGTGGTTTTTTTTTACAAGTCCTCGCTCGAGATAGTCAGGCTGGTCAATGGAATTTATGTCTCACGTTGTATGCGCTAAATATGGCTGTCAAAGTGTATGATCGAAAGGCCTCCAACGATGGCCGAGGACAGCTGGCGGCTCGCAGCCAACGAACGACAATGGGGCGCTGCTTCTGAGCCAGCATATCTCGGATTTTGCCCACCAACGCGGTGTCATCCCTCGACCAACTTGGACCGTGGCACACACATTTTACAGCATCATGCGTCAAAGTCACCCAATGGCGACATTGTCAAAGCGTACTCGATTGGAAAAGACTACTGCAAGGGTTGCCATTTGCTGCTTTAGGTTCGTCGAGCATCGTGGTCGACAGAATGGTGGCTGAGACTCGACGGGAGCGCCTCTGGCGAACCTTTGCGGGCTGGCAGCCATGATCTGAACCCTGAGTACCTCTCGTGGCGTGAGGGGACTAGCAAGGTTGGCATCGTCCCTTGCTGTCTGTGGTGTTGACGAACGGAGGCCTGCCCTGCAAAGATCTCACTTTGCTGATTTCGAGGTCGGAGATGGACTTCATGGTGTGGTCGAGGTGCTGACCATACAAATCGGTTTGGTGGTCTTGACTATCTGAAGAAAAACGTGGTCAATGAGATGCCCAAAATGATTCCACTTGGAGCTTGTTGTCTTAGCTTTGACTGGTCTCTTCATGATCCGGACATGTCAATTATAATAGGCTTTGTAATGGCTCATGTTCATCAAGGTGTGACCATATATTGTGGTTACGCTTAATCGTTGCTTGACTTGCCCTGCTTCACATACCGAATCGAGCTGAAGAAGGCATGGAACCTGGAGAGCCGATGTCGTTCAGAACCTTTCAAGACCATATCTCCTGGCCATCCTATCCTTCGTAGCCTTCATTCGCCCCATGATCACATCTGAGTCTGCCTTTTGGTTCGGTTGCCATCCATCATTCGACGTTCGTGAACGTACCTAAAATCGCGGACATATATCTGGACGTGAATCATCTCTATTCAGGCTCACAACCTCAGAGTCCATCTCCCCCGCAACCCCCCAAAGAAACTGAAGCATGGCCAGGTTTGAGAGGAAGCTCATGTCCCTTTCGGTCCCAGCACGTGCCCGAACACATGCATTTGTTGCCAAAACTAAAGCAACGTGCGATCATGGACTGCCCTGCCAACCCTGACTGGTGGTTTGAAGCGATTCATGGGAGGCGTCAGGCGGCAGGCGTAGGAGTGTGGCACCCTGTTACCAAGGCTTGTATTTTGAAAATTGAAGCACTCCTGTGAGAGAACTGTACAGAACCTTGACGTCTCAAACTCCCATGAGGGTTCCCACACCCTGTAGGCCTTCAAAAAGTTCCATCATGTGCCTCTAAAGGCAAACAGCTTAGGTTAGAGGACCTTTTTGAGCAAGGAAAACCATGCCAGTTGAGCTCTCTGGGAATCTATATAAGAGCGACGCATTTGGGATTAGGTCTCATCTTTCTAGAAACTCATCTTTCCCTCATCGACACTCGGAATCGGCCAACTTCAACTTCACTGACACGAACACTTACACCCACAGCTCCCATCTCTCCCAAACAAACCCAAAATGCGTTTCGCTACTGGTATCCTCACGGCCTGCGCCCTCCTTGGCTCCGTCAACGCCGGCACCCAGGCCCCTCGTACGGGCAAGACCCTCAATTCTGAGCCCAGCGGAGGTTCCGGCGCCGTCAAGGCTGCGTACAACGGCGCATCCGGCGCCGCCAAGTCTGTGTACAACAGCGGTTCCGGCGTCATCAAGGCGACCGAGCCTGCTCCGAAACCTGCCGCGCCCGCCGCCACCAAGGAAGAAATCAACGGATGGATCAAGGACGCCATGGCCGAGGCCAACGCCATCGAGCAGGAAGCCAAGCAACGCGCGATCGCCGAGCAAAAGGAGGCTGAGCGTGCCGCCCTCGAGGCAAAGAAGGCCGCCGAGGCCGAGGAGGCCGAGTACCAGGAGCGCAAGGCCGCCGAGGATGCCGCCGAGGACGCCGCCGAGGTCCAGAAGGCCGCCGACCAGCTCGCCGAGAAGAAGCGCCTCCAGAAGATCAACAAGCAGCAGGAGAAGGACGTCACCTCCTGGGTTAAGAAAGCCCTCGCCGACTCCCGCAAGAAGGAAAAGGAGGAGGAGCGCAAGATCCTTGAGGAGTCGCAGCGCCTGGACCGCCTCTATCTCGAGCGCAAGCAGCGCGAGTCTGACGAGGCCGCCGCCAAGCAGGCTGAGCGCGAAGCCGAGGACGAGCGCGAGTACAAGTGGCAGAAGGAGCGCGAGGAAAGGGACCGCAAGGAGGCCAAGGCTCAGGACGCCGACGATGTCAACGCTGGCGTCAACCGCTACGTCAACTTTCCTCAGCCCGTGCCTGCTTACCAGCCCGGTCCGGTCGCGCCCGTCTACCACCCGGCCCAGCCGGTCCAGCCGGTTCAGCCGGCCTACGTGCCCCAGCCCGCTCCGGCCCCCGTCATGGCCACCCCTCAGATTGTCCCCGTTGGTGTTCGCAGGGTCGGCGTGCCCTTTGGATATCCCATCAGGAACGTCCGCCGTGGCCTCAGCCCTGAAAACGAGGAGGACGAGGCGAAGGGTGAGGCCTTGGTATGTAAGCAGTATCCCCCTGTTGATCTAAAAGCTTCTGCTGACCATCGTGAAGAAGAAAACACCAAGCCCCAAATACGTCTCCAAGCCTGTCAAGAAGATGATCTCGTTCAAGAACTCCACTGCCAAGCCTGTCTCGACAGCCAAGCCAACCGAGACGAAGGATGCCAAGGCCGAGATCCAGAAGGAGACTGTTGAGCAAATCACCCGCTTGATCAAGGCCAACTTCTAGTAACCACGTGGCCTTTCTTTTGCTGCGTACCTCAGTCATTACCTAGTGCGGGAGCCTCTTGGCTTAAAACATATGATGCTATTGGTTTCCATATCAGTCTTCTCAGGTATCTTGCTTAGAACGGAAGAGGGTCATACCTCTTGCTTGGGGCTCGGGACCTGGCAACGGGCATCGGGTAGAAGCTTTAGACTCTAGTAGTCGAGATAGTTAAACAGTCCTCACCAGCCAGAGCCACATCCGCAACTCGTGAATCGTCGCCAAAGGAACTTTTGTGATGTTCTCTAGACTTTCAGGGGGCAAAGTGATCACGGAGCAATCTGCTCTGCCACGTGAAGAGTGTGTTGACGCGTGGGCATACTGCAAAGTAATGGGATAAGTAGAGAACGCATTGGACTACCGGCGTAAACACACCCAGATGCAAAGTGACAGCGTGATAGCAAAGAACGAGGAGCTACTGTCAAGAAATGCAAAATCCGCCAGAGTAATGAATTGCATTGTAAAGGCGAACGTATACCGAGAACGCCTGTTGGGAAAACGTTGAAAACCTCTCCCCCTGGTGGCCGCACTCGACTTGCCTTGTACGTGTGTACTTGGAGGTGCTTGATGCGGGACTGTGGTTCATCTTCGGGCAGCAGCTGAATTCCACTCATCCGCAATCGTCACTCACCTGCATCCAGACTCTGAAAGACGAGAACACCCACATGTGACTGCTCGTAGTTCCAGCTTTCTTGGAGGGATTTATTTCGCTAAAAATAAAATTTTGTTAGAAAATAAAATCAGAGGTGCATGTTATCCGAACTATCAACGTGGTGAGGCTCATTCAGAACGCCTGACTTTCAAGCCGGCTGGATGTCTAAGGCGCCAGTGGTAACGTAACATGAGAAGTGACCAAACGAAAACCATCCGTTGATCGACACAAGACAGCCTCATGACGAGAATGATGTTGGAGAGTACGTACTTAGTGCTACGGTGATCTTGGGCTGAAGAGGATGTTGCCTGAATCAGTGCAGAAGGTTTGCTTTCGGAAATCTGGAGCCAGCATGGGACCCTCTTCACCCTCTTTGGGCCAACTCTCGATGACAATGACGACAAATCTGGACAGCGAACACCGAAAAACAGCGCTAGAGCGCTGAACTGCGCCAGGTTGCGGGAGGGCCGCGCCACCCATTGCATAATGCTCTCGAAATAGCAATGCCCTGGCCGCTACGAGAAGAAGCGCAGCAATCATGCACGACGAAGCCTAACCCAGGGATATTGGATGAACGGAGAGAGCGAACGGCCGGACGGTTCGGAGCCGACACGTTGCCACTGGTACGAGAGAGAGAGGGAGAGGGAGAGGAGATATAGCGGCCCGAGTCATGGTGGGCCTGTCCGACTTGGCTTCCATCATTGGCTGCCCAGTTCTCAGCTCGCCCCAGGTTTGCAACGACGTCAGGCCTCCGTGTCAGTATGATCGAGGAACACGAATAAGGCTGTTGCCGCACGGGGCGAAATGCAATGTTGGCAGTGGAGCGTTTCCCCTTCCCACATACATCTCTCTGGCAAGACATTGGAATGCCGGCTTGCTCGCAATTGACCTGATCAGCAGCCCTGCATAGCGCGCTCTCCACATCGGAGAAAGGACCCTGCCCCGGGGCGATACGAGAAGATCGTCAACGACGCCACCGCTATCGTCAAGCAATGCAACGGCAGTAAGGTCGCATGGCTGGGCGGCGGCCGAGGCTGCCGATTAGCTGGCTGTTTTCGTAGTGGAAACTCAGGTGAGGAACCCAGACGAGGTTGCGAGCTGGTGGTCGCAGAAGAGGCGGGCGGGCGAGAGTAGAACAGCTCGATCGCTTGCCGCAGATGGGACCCTGCGTCTAGGCATGCTACGTAGCTTAGCGTACCCGTTGCTTGCCGGGGCCAAGACTACTTCGGGCGCCTCGTATCGGTGGCCAAGAGACGGAAATCTGGAGAAGGTCCGGCACGTAGCCCGACTTGCGATCCACACTGCCGTCTCCGCCCGTCGAGTGTTGGTGACGTCGACCTCTAGGTTGCGTCGGAGGCTTGTGACGTTGAGCATTCGTATCGAGTCTCGAGATGTAGTATAAAAAGACAGCATCGCCAGTCTCTGCTAGAGGTTTGGAACCAGACCAACACATCGAACCACATCAGAGCATCCTTGAGACTTGACACCATCACCAATCTTTCACACAAACCCTCAACCCTTCAACCTCACCCAACATCAAAATGCAGTTCACCCTCGCCGCCGCCGCCGCCCTCTTTGGCGCCTCTGCCCTCGCGGCCCCCGCGTCTCCCGGCTCCACCGGTGCTCCTCCCGACCCCAACATGTACGAGAACATTGACATTGCCGACTTCAACGTCCGCAAGGGCGAGGACGGCACCATCAAGTACGTCAACTTCAAGCTGAGCGGCGACGACGCCGACGGCCTCCTCTGCGAGGCCCAGAACCCCGGCCTGCCTTCCAACGTCATCACCTGCGGCGAGTCCAAGTACCGCTTCGCCCTGTCCTCTGGTAAGCAGTATGAGTTCGCTCTGAGCCTGTACCACGAGCTCGGCCTTGCGTAAGTTGACCCTCCCCTTGGGACGTGAGATAACCCAACCCGCGATGACTGACATTCTTGGACAGCGTCGGCTTCTACGGCACTGGCGAGATCTTCACCCACTGCCGTGCTGGCGGCCTTGGTGACTTTATCTGCCAGCAGCAGAACCCCACCACCATTGTCATCGACAGCCTGCCCGACGCTCCCGCCGAGGCTTAAGCGTTGCATTTCGGATAGAAAGTTTGCGGGTTACGCCATGTTCACAGTGGCTGTAAATTTAGCCGTAGCGATACATATGAGGGGCAGGCTTGAAACGTCTACAGTCTGCCTAGTAATGGACAAATGATAAAACCAACCTATCACATGAAATTCCCTGCGCGCCCATGATGATCCTAATGAGTAGAATATGCTTTGGAGGCTTGGCATGGTGTTCAGCGCCGGCCTAACCTTGAGGCAAGTGAAGCATCATGATGCTGTTGAATAGACTTGACCAAACAGGACGCGACTGGCACTTGTCTACCGTTAATGTGCCAAACGGGACACGTGAGCATTGCATTTGCGCCCCGTAAAGTGACTCGACAACTTCCCAGATGCTTGACGGTATCATGTATCCGGTATTTCGACCTCACAGCAAGACTTATGCTCATGTTACTCAACGCTTCACAAGCCACGGCATGCCATTCTTGAGCACAGCTTCGTAGCTTGACAGGCCGTAAACAATCACTTAAGTCTGACGATTAACACGCTGATTTCCAAGAAGTGAACAATAAATTCGGACGGTGCTAGCCTCAACCAAAAGTCATGATCCTGTTGCTCCATTACGTCAGCACACCACCGGCGACCGGCCAAACGCTTTGCCGTCACCATGCGCAATTGTGGGCCGCCGGCAGGCACGAGCATGTTGCGTGAGCTACCTGGTACCTAGCCTGGGCGGGCTTCGACCAGAGAAGCTCCAGGTCGCCGCCAAACAACGATCATCACCACCCTTGCAACATCAACCACCAACACCCCATTTCCTCGATATCTGTTCAACGCCCCGATTACCGACAGAAGACCAATCGTGTCAAGAAACCACAAATACCCGCCATCATGTCGGAAGGAGCCCTCAAGCCCGAGAAGGACTTCTCGAAGGAGGCCGACAAGCAGATCCCCGAAGCGGAGCAGCTCGCATCGGTGCGCCAGCCTACGAACACAACAACAACAGGATCGCCGCTAACTATGGAATTGTAGAGCGACATCCAGGCCGCTGTCGAGCGTCTTGCCGTGCTCGAGAAGCAAACCCGTCAAGTGCGTTTGTCGACGTCATGCGAGCACCAAACATATTGCTGACCAACCCCCAGGCTTCAGATCTCGCCTCCACGTCTCGTGTGCTGGTCGCCATCGTCACAATCTGCAAGAATGCGAAGAACTGGTCTCTCCTCAACGAGCAGGTGCTCGTCCTGTCGAAGAAGCACAGTCAGCTGAAGCAGGCCATCACCAAGATGGTGCAGACCGTTGTTGGCTTCCTCGACGAGACGCCAGACCTCAAAACCAAGCTGTCGCTCATTGAGACTCTACGAACTGTCACCGAGGGCAAGATCTTCGTCGAAGTCGAGCGCGCGCGCGTCACCAAGATTCTGTCCGATATCAAGAAGGAACAGGGCGACCTCAAGGCCGCGACAGAGATTCTGTGCGAACTGCAGGTGGAAACGTTTGGTTCCATGGACCGAAGAGAAAAGACAGAGTTCATCCTTGCGCAGGTCGCCCTGTGCATCGAGAGCGGAGACTGGACCCAGGCTGGCATTCTGAGCAGGAAGATCAGCACCCGGTATCTGTCAAGGAAACCGAAGAAGACACCCGAGCAGCTGGAGAAGGAGCAGAAGGAGCGCGAGAAGAAGAGGCTTCGTGGTGAAGAGGTGCCAGAAGAAAAGGTGGATGACACAACAGACCTCAAGCTGCGATACTACGAGCAGCAGATCATCCTGGCGAAGCACGACAACAAGTACCTCGAGGTTTGCAAGAACTACCGACAAGTCCTGGACACGGAGGCTGTCGAGAACGACCCTGCCAAGCTGCACCCAGTACGTCCGAGAGTTTTGCCTGTTCGTTCTACGCACCGCTAATTCTGTTTCTAGGTTCTCCAGCGCATCATTTACTTTGTCATCCTCGCACCCCACGACAACGAGCAGCATGACCTCCTGCACCGAATTCTGCGTGACACGCGCAATGCCCAGGTGCCCGTCGAGGAGGAGATTTTGAAGCTCTTCACAGTTCATGAGCTTATGAGGTGGCCCGAAGTGGCCAAGAGGTTCGGCCCTGATCTCTGCCAGACCGACGTTTTCGACGCCCAGGCTGGTCAATCTGCGGATGAGAAGGCGCACCAGCGCTGGGAGGATCTTCGCAAGCGTGTAATCGAGCACAACGTCCGCGTTGTGGCCAAGTATTACACTCGCATCCAAATGAGCCGTCTCACGCAGCTGTTGGATCTGGCCGAAGATGAAACGGAGAAGTACATCAGTGACCTGGTCACCTCCAAGACGGTCTACGCCAAGATTGACCGACCAGCGCGCATTGTCAGCTTCGCCAAGCCCAGAGACGCCGATGACGTCCTGAACGAGTGGAGCGGCAACATGAAGAGCCTTCTCGGTCTGTTGGAGAGGATCGACCACCTCATCACCAAGGAGGAGATGATGGCGCGCATCCAGCCGACGTCCAAGTCAAGCAAGGGCAAGACGGCCGCCAAGGCACGCTAAGCCAGTCTGACAGTGTGTCAGTCTTCACACGCTCTGGGAACGGCTACAAGTGTCTGCTTTGGAGGATCGGCTACAAACGGCTGGGCGGCGAAGCGGCTCTGTGATTGTGACGAGAACACGGACTCGCCTGGAGACTTGTCACTGTAGAATATAGAATACCACCCCCGTCGAAACGGGGCATGTAACCTTGATGTCTACCTTGCGATCATCTAGTGTCTATGTTGCGTGCTATGCATTGACGGACTCCCCTACATCTTGGCGGCCTCTGGATCCTGCGCATGGTGCTTGACGTACCCCGCCAGCGCCATGGCCCACTCCTTCGAGATGGGCACATAGTGGCCGCCTGGGTGGACCACGACCGCCGCCTCCTCGCAGCGGTCGACCAGCGCCCGGCTGCGGCCCTCGTCGACGACCGTGTCGAGGCTGCCGATGAACTGGATGGTCGGCGTCTGGATCTTGGGCTCAAAGCACCAGGCCAGCGATTCGTCCACGGCGAAGAAGCCCGAGTAGACGGCCGCGAACCGCAGGCCGCGGCCCTCGTTGGCCTCGCGCAGGGCCGCCACCCAGGCGGCCTGCTCGGCGTGGACGTCACGATGCGGCGTCTCCAGGGCGGCGGCGACGAGAGCGGCGACGGCGCCGCCCTGGCTGAAGCCGAGGACGGCGTCGACGGGGCCGGACGAGCGCAGGGTCGAGGCTATGGCCGCCATGCCCTCGTCGAGACCAATGTAAGACTGCCTGTCGGCGTCGGACAGATTGTCGCGGCGGGCGGAACCAGGCCCAGGAGTCCGGCGCCGGCGTGTCCTCGGCGTCGTCCGCCGGCGGCTGGTAGCCGGGGATGTCGGCGGGGTTGAGCTTGATCGGCGCCGTGGGGTAGATGCAGTTCAGGGTCAGATTCAGGGGCGTGAGGGCCTTGGCTAGGAGCTTCTCGAGCGCGCGCGTCTTGGAGCGGAAGAGGGGCCCCGATTGTGTGTAGCCTGGCGCGTGTTAGTGAAGGCCTCCAAGGGACAGTAAGATGGAGATGAGTTTTGCGACTGGTTGTATTTTCGGGTGAGATGTAGTATTCCACCGCACATCCTATGATGGGCGGCACTTGATAGAATGAGAGCTTGAGAAGGCTGGATGCGTATAGCTTACCATGTAGCATGAGAATTTTGAATTCCTTTCTGGTGTTTGCTTTTTGTTTCTTATCGGCCGTGCCGTTAGGCGCTGGGTTTGTTGCCGTAGACATGGGTGCAACTATGGTGGGAGTACTAAATCTACAGAGCCCCACGTAGGATGTAGAAGGATAACTTGGCAGTATACGTGTACCTGGAGGCGTCGGACGTCGTAAAGCCGGGTGCCTGAACAATCTGAAAGATCGCATGTGGTGCGGTTGTTGAGTTGAAGAGCGCCTCATTAAGTGGATCTAGCATGCAATTGTCACTGTAAGGGCGCATGGGAGCCGATCAAATGCAGGACATGCGAAGTCGCCGGATGATTCATACCGATTTGAAGCGTACGGCAAGTCGTTCTTGACGGCAGCATGTAATTCATGTATCTACGATCCGTCGCGGCTGTCATTAAACTTTCGAATTGAAGATTCGCGAGATGTAGTACACATTGCGGATTGGGACGTCACGTGATTATGAGTTCACTTCCGATCACTCGGAGGCGCGTGAGGACTATTTCGGAGAACAGATGACACGCCGTAGTATGAGACCTCAGTAATGACCCCGGTCACACTCCATGGTTCAAAGTGTCACGATGGTCAGTACATTTCTGTAGGGGGATGTGCGTGGTCGTCGACAAACAGCCATGATTCATAAAGGCCTGAGATAGCGTCGCGTACTCGTATGAATGAAGGTGTGGGTGGCAAATCGGTAACAACTCAATTAATGCGTGTCGCCGGTCTATGATACAATCGCCCTCTAGCACGTCGTCGGTGGTCGTTCGATGCGTGTGTGTTCCTTGCCGAACTAGCCTCTGTTCATACGACTTCCATCCCCTTGGCGGCCCGTCCCGATCGATTATCGATTTAGTGACCGCCCTTGACGGCAGGGTTGCGGGCATCCTTCTTCCACTCATCGGCTGCAATGCGCTGTCAGTTTTTGCGTGCTTTGTAGGCCGGCAATGGCTCATGGAGGACATACAAGCCATCATGGCGTTCTGGGCAGAGTTGATGCCGTAGGCGATGATGAGGCCTGTCGTGCGTCAGTATGCTGAGTTCGTCTCGAGTTTGTCGTCTGTTGCCGTTTGGCAGGTTTTTGTGTCGAGGTTCGGGGGTCAGGAGTCGGCAATCGTACCAGCGGCGTAGAAGGGAGCCATGGGCCTCACTATATTCGGGTCAGCACGAATGCGAGGCGCGAGCGGATGCAGCAGCGATTGACGTACGAACGGGCGCCGGGAACTTCTTGAGGGGGGTAGCACCGAAGAGCATCTTGGCGATTTGTGGGAGAGGCGTTGGGTTGGTGGGGATTGGCGTTTGAGGGTGGTTGATTCAAGGGTCCGAGGTGAAGCTATCAAGAGAGAGCCTTTTTCCTCCGATGCCTCGTCTGTCGTCGGGTTGAGCCGCTAGCCGGCAATGCAGCCTCAGGCAGGAGTTCCTCACTTTGCTGACTGGACGTTTTGGTCGATAAGCCGCGTGGCTGATAAGACGCTCGTCACGTGTCTCCAGACGGCGCTTGATTTCTCCGTCAGGTGACATCATGCCCAGCTTCTCCGCACTGGTCCTCAGACGAGACGAGCCAGTTCTGGGTTCCGCCCCACATGAGCTGTCCCCCCCGTTGCTTCTGCCGTGGGTGAGCCCCCCCCCCCCGAAGCCCAGCTTTCCCCAGATCCAGCACCTGTACAACGGGAGAGTAACGGTCACACCCTTTCCCCCTCCCTTTGTCCGTCACACACTGTCACCCACACCACACCACACCACCATCCTGCACATCCATCCCCTTTGGCCTGCCAGCATCACCTGCCCTGGGCCGACCTTCCAATCAATTACCCTTACTCCAAGTGCGGGGGTGAACTGCAATAGGAGATCACTCATTGCTCAGCATCCAGGCATCCCCAAACCACCATCCAATTACCCCTTGAAGCTGCACTCCCACGGCGCGGCTATCTGACCAGCAACAGCTTGCTTCCCGCTTTTGCCTTTTGAAACGCTGCCAAACAGCAAAACACGGTCCCTGCTCTCTCTCGGAAGTACCTGCCTGCTTTCCGCCGGGCTGCCTCTTTACCTGCTGCACCTTGGGATCTCAATATAGCTCGACGCTTCGATCACAATCTACCGTGCGCACTCCCGTGCGTTGATCAAACCATTCAGCCGCCTCTTCCTTGCCGGGGGCGCCAACCTTCTATTGCTTCTGCCACCTTGACCTCAGCAACACCATCAGCACCACCAGCAACCGCTTCCTTTCCCTCCGTCACCCCCTCCTCACCTCCCCCCTCTCCTCACCTTCACCATGCTGAGCCAGCGTTTGGTGCGCGCAGCTGCCGGCGCGGCGACCCCCCGCACGGCGCTGCGAGCTGCCTTCTCCACCACTGGCCAGCCATGTACCAAGACGCCCGGCATGGCCGACATCAGCGCTTCGCCCCAGAGCGTCGAAGAATTCAACAAGAGGCAGCAGGCATTCCGAGAGCAGTTGGTCGACCAGCAGAAGCAGCGGGAAGCAAGTGCGTGGGCTCATCGTTCCTCTCCCCCTCCCCCCTCCTCCTCCCTGTCGCCCGCCGACGCCGAGAAACTCGGCTCACTGAAGGCCTCTTCTGCAGGATCCAAGGCCGACGCCAAAGAGCCCACCAAGAAGGCCGGCCCGCTAACGAACCTCATCTATGGTACCAAGGAAGGACGCGAGCTCGAGGCCCAGCTCGAGGCGAGCTTCAGCCAGGTCCTTGCCCGCGGCAAATATGTTCACACCATCTCCTTCCACGAGGTCAAGCAGGACAGGCTCGAGGAGTACGTCGACCTCATCAGCAATTGGTACCCCAAGATGGCCGCTTTGCCCGAGAACAAGGTCCACCTCGTGGGCAGCTGGAGGACCGAGATTGGCGACACCAACACCTTTGGTGAGTACACGCCCACCTGCACCGGCAGCCGCAGGAGGTCCTGTGTTTCAATCAACTAACGAGTCAGTCCACATCTGGGAGTACCAGCGATACCAGGGCTACCACGAGTCGATCCACAACATCGCCAACCACCCCGAGTACGCCGACTTTGAAAAGAAGCTCCGCAGCCTCATCCACTCGAGGAAGAACTCCCTCATGCAGGAGTTCTCCTTCTGGCCCACGACGCCCCCGCGCAAACTCGGCGGCATCTTTGAGCTGCGCTCCTACACCCTGCACCCGGGCAACCTGCTCGAGTGGGAGACGCACTGGCGGCGCGGCCTCAAGGCCCGCCGCGAGGTCATGGAGGGCGTCGGCGCCTGGTTCGTCCAGATTGGCGACCTCAACACCGTCCACCACCTCTGGCAGTTTGCCAACCTGGAGGAGCGCAAGATCCGTCGCGAACAGAGCTGGCAGATTGAGGGATGGAGCGAGACGGTCCACAAGACGGTGCCCCTCATCCAGAAGATGGAGTCGAGGATCCTGACGCCCATGCCCTGGTCGCCAGTGCAATAAATGCAATAAACTTGCTATGCTACACTGTTACAAGACCACCCCAACGGGCAAGGGTCGTCACCCCCTTTTGCTATGGTTGTCTGTTTTTCCTTTGCCTTGTTTCTTCGAGGGAGTTGTACGGATCATCGGAGAGCCATTTGTACGTATATCTTGCTACGGCAGGCGGGCGAGCGGCGAGATTGCCAGAGATGACGCAGAATTGATGTAGGCGGTAAACGCTGAAAATACTCTTGCGTGCCTGCTTGTTTCGTTTCATCTACTTCGTGCAAAATTACTTGGCAAAATCGCCTTGAGGCCAAAACCCCGCCCCCGTAGCTCTCGACAATCCTAGGGTATCCCAACACCACGAACCGTTTTCTACTCATACATGCATCCCTGCAGCTCTGGCATCCACACATCAGTCATCCAGCTCCTCGCCCATGACGGCTGCTAAGTTCATCCTCGCCTGCGCCAGCGTGTTGCCCAGCGCGAGGAGCTTGGCATACAGGCTCAGCAGGCTCGGGTCCGCCGTCTCAACCCGCACCTTCTCGCGCACGTAGACGTCGACGGCGCCGCTTCCGGGGCCGAGATCATCGTCTGCCTCGTGAAACCCAGTAGGCCGGCGCTCGACGGATGCCCCACGGTGGACGTGGCGCGACCCGCCAGCCGTGAGGCGGCTGTAGCGAAACGGATAGACGTGGTCCATCTCGTCGTGCTCGAGGCGGCGATAGGTCCCGAGGGCGAGGCCGAGCTTGAGGCCAAAGTGCTGCGGCGCGTCGGCGGGCTCGAGGGCGCGCAGGGCCAGCACGAGGGTGGCCTCCTGCAGGAAGAGGTGGAAGGCGATGTTGGGGGGCAGCGGCGGGGCAAAGTGCGCCTGGGGCCAGGAGGCGTGCTGCCACGAGGGGTCGGGGGACTCGAGGGGCGGGCCGCGCAGGAGGGCGGTCGAGGCAGCGAGGGAGATGGAGAGGGCGCGGAGGTGGTCGGCTATGGGGCGGGGCGAGGGCGGCGAGTCGAGGGCGAGGGCGAGGAGCTTGACGGATTCGGAGAGGTGCGTGCCCAGCGCTTCGAGCGAGGGGATGTGGATCGGATTCTGGGGGTCGAGGGCGACGCTCTGGCTCGGGAGCGTCCGCAGCTGGAGGTGGATGGTCTGACGCGGGGGAGGGCAAGGTCAACGCCATGGTTCCTCATGAGTCCAGGGATTTGGCACTCGGATGGATGAGCTTACTCCTTTCACTATCCTCGTTCCGACCCGTGTGATGTGTCCCTTGACTTTCTCGTTGCGGTGCGTGCTGAGGACGAGCGTGCTTCCGGGGTCGATGGGAGCGAGGAGCGCATAACAGCCGTCAAGACCATGCTTGAGCTCGGTCATGACGGTGCGTGTCTCCTCGAGGATCCATGCTAACTCGCGGGCCTTGCAGCCGGTGGAAATCTCTATTAGCACCATGGAATTGACAGATGTCGTAGAGAGTCTGCGGCGCGAGGAGTATGCTGAGGAACGAGGCATGATGGGCTTTGGGGCATGGCAAGGTCGCTGAAGGAGGCATGGCGAGATATCGAAACACTCACATGGGACTGCTCCTTTTTCACCTTGAGCTCTTCAGGAGAGACAGGTGGCCAGATGTCAATGGACATGATGGCTATGTGTGCTGAGGAGTGGTGGACTTGTGTGTCGCGCAGGCAGCCATGCTGGGTTCGACAGCTGAAAGAACCGTTGTTGTGGCTCGCGATACCATGCGCCGGGGGTTGCGAGTTGCGACGTGGATGTCTTTAGGCCAAGCTCCAGCTAGCATCAGCGCCAGTGCCCGCTGACAGGGCCATCGTCATCCTGGCACTAGCGGGGCCTGGTGGACCCACTGCTGGAGCCGCAGGAGCCACCTGCTTGCACCTGCCCTTGTCATTCTTCAGGCACGCCTACGCCTGCCTCTGGCTGTTGGGCAGGTGCGACACCTGGCGGCTTGGACTGGTGGAGACTGACAGATGTATGATACTATCATCTCACCGTCACTTCTTTTTTCCTTTCAGAAGCCGCCGCAATCACAGTACATCCTGCTTCATATACAGTTCTTTCAGGCTTTCATCCACGGTTTATCTCAAAACAACAGGCAGGCAAAATACCCCCAGGCTGCTGGAGATATCCCTGCTACGCCTGGAACTTGGAGACGAGGATAATTTTCTCATGCGTACCAACCACGACACATCCAAACGACGACACACCATATATCGCTGCCTACCATGGCGCCAAACCTACCAGAGTCTGGCCGCAAGACGGCCAACACCATCCAGCTGCCTTACCGTCATGAAAAGCTGCCACGACTCGCCGAAGGTGAGCAAGCTCCCTTGGCTGCAGACCCTTGACATGACTGACCTCTCCAGGCTCCAAGATCCAAAAGCGTGCGATTCCCCGCCGCCAACAACCGGCCTCGTCCAATGAACGCCTCATCTATGTTTCGTCATCGACACCGTTCATGTCCGTCGTCAAACGTGTGCGGAAGCAACTTGATCGGTCGCTGCAAGACCGGGCTCCATCTACCAAGAAACTGAGTCTTGCCCAACGTGTCAATCTCTTGAATCGAGACACCAGCACCGTGGGCGAAAGCAATTGCGAGGTGTTGGTACTGGGCACAGGAAAGGCTATTGAGAAGACGTTGAGCGTGGCCAGCTGGTTCGAACAGCAGCCAGACTGTCAGGTACAAGTGAGGACGCGGACAGTCGCCACCGTGGATGATGTTGTGATGGAGGGTGATGAGTTTGGAGGAGACGACAGCCGAGTACGGAAAGTGAGCTGCCTGGAGGCTGCTATCACACTGAAATGAGAGAAGAAACGCAGAATGATGTCAACGACCGCCATGGTAAGCAGGTTCTCCCCCATCTGCATAATTGTGCCCACTGCTTATTCTATTGACAGATACCCTACTCTGATGACCCCGCGAGGGGCCCGCGATCGTAGCTAGAGCCGCGGAGCCCTGTCACAATACGTACAGACTTTATATCTCGTCCTCCGGACCAGAATGTTTACCACTTGATTCCTTGATGCTACCCCCAAGGTCAGCGGCATGTGCCGTTCACTGTCCCTGTATCTTCTCACATTCTCATCGCTCGCCACTATATGACGACTCAGTACTGATGCTCACTCGTCTGCGACTGAAGAGCCCCTTGCTGGTCGGTTTCCTTCGTGGTTCTCGCCCCTCCTTCAACGAGTTTGGGTCGACATGCGATGCTGGGAATACACCGTACTTGCCCTTGTTGTTCGTTCCCGACCAACACCAGTGATCCTGGTATACCCCTATATCCTTACAGTTAGCATGCCTGTCGAACGCGTGTCCATTGGATTCCACTCACAGCCGACGTTCTGAATAACATCCCCCTTTTCAAGGGGTAACCAGCCGGTTCGTGCGCCATCCTTTGGATTCCACTTCCACCGAGCGGTAACGGAAATCCTGCTGTGCGCATTCAAAGAAACCTCGTTTTGTTTCGGACCTTCGATTTCAACCATTTTCGACGGAAACGCCTTTTTTTCGCCATCATGCCACCCTCTACACCACTTTCCACCCCATTCCTCAGGAAACTCAACCCCCACAATCTGGGCGCCGATCAGGAACTTGAGCACATCGTCGGTCCCGTCCGGTGCTACTGGCGCTACCTCGCCGTAACGCTTCACGTTACTCTTGATCGCTGTGGCGGTTGGCAACATAATTAATGTCGCCTCAGGCACTGGGCTTGGTGCCGGCGAATCTGGAAAGTGCAGGTCGTAGTCCTCTTCGAGTTCGTGGCCTGCCTCCACCTTTCCGTACAGTACGGTCACTCCCGGAATCTCAGGCAAAGGTTGTGGATGTTGCGACAGATGGCGAAGGAGCTGTTCCTGGGAGACAAAGGCTGTGGCGTCACCGTGTCTCACAGTGTGTCCAGTCTGTGTACAAAAGAGGCAGGCATATCTGACTTCGGTCAGGTTCTTGGTCGTCATGTGCGACTTGAACATGAAGCGAAGCCGGTAAACAACATTGAATTTCATAAAGTTTGCACGAGCTGCAGTATCATCAGTAAAAGACGCTCGTTATACCATCAATGATCAACTTACAGTCTCTCTCCAGGTCGCGTGTCATCTCACTGTGTACGAGATAGAACTCGCAGCTGGTGCAGCGGCCGACTGCGACAAGCTGGCCCTGCATCGTAGCTTGTCAGTTACACTGACCTTGAGAGCCACGCATATCGGAGAACTCACATATATGGAAGCCTGTTTCATGCCGCGTGCATGCTCGCTCTTCTTGAATAGCTCGGCGCCATCGCAAAATCCTTTGAGCTGGTGGAACGAGCTCTTTGGTCCAATCTGACACGCTGTCTCTCTTGCGCCTGTCGAGATGGTACGGATCTGCGTCCCACTTGTTTCTGACCTCACTGTTCTTGTCTCGTCCGCAAGCATCAAGCCATCGTCATGCTCGGACAAGGGTGGAAGCATCAACGGTGCCATGTGATCGCTTTCTGAGTAAAAGGTTCCGTGCGAGGCGCCTCGGGGGTCGTTATTGGGATTGATGTGCGGGGAGGGCCCAGCAGACGATGTGTTCGGTTCTGAGAAGAGAGATGTCCGGTTCGTCGTCGAAGGGCTGGTGGGGTCGAAGACGGAGGTTGCAGACGTATATCCGGTATTGTCCACAGGCGAGCCATAAGTATAGCCATTGCGATAGGTCCGGCTGTGGATCACCGGAGGCTCAACAGTAACGCGCATCGAAATCTTGGCCATGCCGGCGTGCTCAGGGGGTCTATCTCCCGCGATATAACGGCGCACGCCCGGGTGCGGCTCACTCGTCTGGTCAGTCACCCATTCCGATATCCGGGGCGAGGATGACGGGGCGGGAGGAGACAGTCTGCGAGGTTCGGGAACAATACGAACGCGGTCCAATTCGTCACCGAGGACATCGAGGCCGGACGACTTGCCGTCAGCTCGCAACACATGGACTATGGGCGATTTTTGCGCTTGCTGCGGTGGAGGCTGGTGTTGAGCAGTTGGCTCGTTCTGCTGCCTCGTGGATACGGCTGTAGTCCACGAGTCGACCCTTCGAAGCGGCATCGCCTGGGAGTCTGCTGCTTGAACAGACGATGCGCGGGAGCTGGTGGTCCCGGCGCGTTGCAGCCCTGACGTACGTCGCTGCTGACGGGTTCCGCTTGAATTGCGATGCCTCGCGTTGCTATTGGCAGATCCTTCGTCCTGAGTACTCCCAGGTAGACGCGGAGGAGGGAACTGCGAGATGTTCTGGAAGCCGTCTGCCGGCGAGTCGACCGCTCCTCCGCGAGTTGTGGGCCGCGAGCTCGCTCGGGTGCCCGATCTTGAGGGTGGCAGGGGCGGCAGGGGTGGAAATGTGTGGATTGGTGATTTCGGTGTTGGAGGGGTTGGTACTGGCGCCTCGACCTTTAAGCGTTTGACAATGTTCAAGGCATCCAGCGCGAATGACTTTGTAGCCGCCTGCAGCTCCGCAAACTTGTCGAGATCGAACGAATCGAGCTCGATGTAGTCCTCAAAGTCATACAGCAGGTCCTCCAGGGCGCGCCGCTTCTCTGCGATTTCATCTTTGCGCGGTCAGCGACTTGTGGGCATCTCGACAGATACAATATTGCGAGCAAGACTCACCACTGTCACGGATGGCGTCCTTGAATGCGTCACCGAATTTGTCAACGTGGGCGTCCCAGATCGGCTGCAGCCTCTTCAAGGCGCGGTCCCCTTCTTTGACGAGGGCCTGGGCGGCGCGCGCCATCTGGGTCGCCATCTCGGGGTCGTCATCTTCGGCGGCCTGAGCGTTGGTCACGGCATCTTGACCCCGTTCGACCACCTCTTGGAAGGGAGTGATGATCAGCTCTTCCACGTCGACGGCCATTTCCGCGTCTGGCCGTGGTCACGAGGGCTCGACTTGTGTCATCGACTGTGGCCTCGAGGGGGTTCGTGCGCGCGCCTTGTCGATCTAGCAGCTCTCGTTGCTGTAGCCTCACAGAAAGGTCGACTGGGGGAAAGCTCCTGGACGTAAAGGAAAAGCAAGAAAATGACTGGCTTCGAGTGAGTCCAGCGCCGGTTCAAGGGCCCCGTGGTGGTGGGACGTCCCAAGCTCTTGGAGCGAGGAGGGGGATCGCCGCGGGGCAGCACCACATTTTGTTCGAGCTTGCCCATCGCGTCAGGCCCCTTCCCTTCCAGCCTGCGTCGACACAATTGGAGGAGCGCGGCGCCTTGGATACGGGATGGGGGGGGGGGGTTGAAGATGCCGTTGTCTGTCCAGCACGACCTCGCCCTCACGTGGAAAGGGGCCCGGATGGGCTTCCGCGATTCCCATGTCGTCGGGGGTCGTGGGCCAGCCGCTGGAGCACGTGGGGGTGTTGGCGGCCCGCGCCAAGACGTTTGAAGAAGGACCCCTGGAGGACGCTGTGCAAGGCGTTGGCGCTATTGGTTTGGGAATTCGGTGCTGCGGGCAACGGTTTATGTGTCCGATGGGAGCAAGTCGGCAAAGCTGGTGTTTTGTGTGTGCCTTGTTGCGCCTTGCCGTTGGAGCTGGGCTTGGTGGTGTTTGTGGTGGTGTTGATGGCATGGAGCTTGGTATATGACAAGCCTTCGGACGCCCATACTTGAGAGGTGGTCAACGAGCGGCACCTTGGTCAAGAAAGGGAATCTGATCGCATGCAGCTGGGTTCTAGATCGTTGAGATCTGAGACCCGATGGATTAGCCATGCTGTGGCCTCTTTCAGCTATCGCTGGCTCTAGGCCATTCCCTGCTGGGGGGTTATGGCATCGTGGGGTCCCGCAAGGTCCTGATTAGGTGTTTTCAGCCGATGCCTGCTCTCTTCCCCATGTGGATAGCACGAATGGGGTTCCTTCGAGAGACTGGACATGGGTGAGCACGTGGTCATGGCAGAGCGTCGCCACGACAAGTGGTGTTATTAGGGTTGTGGGGATGGGTTCTGAGGACTGGACTTGGCATGCCCACGCTATTGACGCCTTTCTCTGGTGTCGTCTGAATTTGGCCATGCTGTTCTATCGTCGGCACACGCGGTCCTCAGCTATGCCTATCTTCAGCGACCCCGAGCGTTGTATGCATCCTCGTCCTCCGTGATGCATGAAAGTGGTTTCATCTAGCTTGTCGGCAAGTTTTTAACCTTCCGCTTCTGGTCGCTCTCTACTATCTTCTACCAATGGAAGAAGATCAAGACTGAAAATGGAAGCCGGGACTTCAAGCTACCTAGATTGAAGCACCATGAATGACCTTGCTCCCAAAGTTGGCCGAGATCTCACAATGCATGTCGAGACTAGGTTCTCTTAATCGTTCTAGGCGGCATGGAGTCACGATACAATCGTGCATTCTTCAAATCACCTCAGTGCTCGAATTACATGTTGACTCCAGAACGAATACCCATGGCACTTCACATTACAATAGGCAAGATCCAAAGATGTGTAAACCTGCTCAAGGGATTCGGCAATTCACAGCAAAGTAAGTATGCAAAGACCCCGCTGGCTACGTGACGCATGGCATGATGCTTTTAGGTTGGTGTACATGTGATGCCGTTCCCCTTTTCCCGTCTTCAACGATACCGTCTAGTTCTCATACACTCGGGCCCCTCCTGGTCTTGCCATTTCACTCCTCTAAGTTTTGCTCTCTCTCTCTCTCTCTCTCTCTCTCTCTCTCTCTCTCTCTCTCTCTCTCTCTCTTTCTCTCACGGCTTGTACTCCGCGGGGCCGATCATGAGCTCGGGCTTCACCAGCGTGTCAAACTCCTCCTCGGTCAGGGCGTTGAGCTCCATGGCGCTCTCCTTGAGGGTGAGGCCCTTCTTGTGGGCGTTCTTGGCGACCTTGCTGGCCATGTCGTATCCAATCTTGGGGTTGAGGCAGGTGACGAGCATGAGGCTGTATGCGGGTTAGCTGGTGTCTGGAACGACGCGAAATGTAGAACAAGACGAGATGTGGAACAAGACGAGATGAAAGGGACGGGACGGGACGGGACGGGAAACGTACGACTCCTGCATGATGCTGGCAATCTTCTGCTCGTTGGCGGCGAGGCCGACGACGAGGTTCTTCTCAAACGAGCGCATGCCGTCGCTGAGGATGCGGACGCTGTGCAGCAGGTTGCGGATGACGAGGGGCTTGTAGACGTTGAGCTCAAACTGGCCGTTCATGCCGCCAATGGTGGTGGCGACGTGGTTGCCCATGACCTGGGCGCAGACCATGGTGAGGGCCTCGCACTGGGTGGGGTTGACCTTGCCGGGCATGATGCTGCTGCCGGGCTCGTTCTCGGGCAGGTTGAGCTCGCCGAGGCCGCAGCGGGGCCCGCTGCCGAGGTAGCGGATGTCCTGGGCGATCTTGCTGAGGGAGCCGGCGAGGGTGTTGAGGGAGCCGTGGGCCTGGACGATGGCGTCGTGGGCGGCGAGGGCCTCGAACTTGTTGGGCGCCGTCTTGAACTCGGTGCCCGTCATGCGGGAGACCTCGTCGGCGATGCCCTCGGCGAAGCCCTGGAAGGTGTTGATGCCGGTGCCGACGGCGGTGCCGCCCTGGGCGAGCAGGCGCAGGTCGGGCAGCGAGGAGCGGACGCGGGCGATGCCGGCGTCGAGCTGGGCGACGTAGCCGGAGAACTCCTGGGCGAGGGTCAGGGGCGTGGCGTCCTGGAGGTGGGTGCGGCCGATCTTGATGATCTTCTTGGCGTCAAAGTCGTCGACCTTGGCCTGCAGGGCGTCGCGCAGGCTCTGGATGGCGGGGATGAGCTCCGACTCGATCTCGAGCACGGCGGCAATGTGCATGACGGTGGGGAAGGTGTCGTTGGACGAGGCGCTGCGGTTGACGTGGTCGTTGGGGTGGACGGGCTTCTTGGAGCCCATCTCGCCGCCGAGGATCTCGATGGCGCGGTTCGAGATGACCTCGTTGGCGTTCATGTTGGACTGGGTGCCGGAGCCCGTCTGCCAGACGACGAGGGGGAAGTGGTCGAGCAGCTTGCCCTCGGCGACCTCGGCGGCGGCCTGCTGGATGGCCTTGCCGATCGTCTCGTCGAGGCCGTAGCGCATGTTGACCGTGGCGGCGGCGCCCTTGAGGATGCCAAAGGCCTTGATGATGGGCGGCGGCATGCGGTCCTGGGGCTGGTTGATCTTGAAGTTCTCCAGGGACCTCTCGGTCTGGGCGCCCCAGTACCTGTCGGCGGGGACCTGGAGGGCGCCAAAGGCGTCTGTCTCGGTTCGTGTGGAGGAGGACATGCTGGCCATGGTCGTGTGCAGCGTTCGTGTGGTGCGGACTTGGTATCGGGAGGTGGTGTTGGCGGCGGCGCGGGCAAAGGCGTACCGTCCTGGGACGGCGGCGTGCTTAAGGACGTTCATAGTGACCAGCCGAGCGGGGTGCGCGCAAGCGGAGGGGGATCGATTGGCTGGTGGATGGAGCAGAGCAAGCCGAGGATGCAGGCGAGTTTATTATAGGGAGGGGAATGCTGTCGGGAGTGCTGTCGGAGTTGATGGGAGTATTCTGCTTGTCGCGCCGGCGGCTTCACCCAACAAATGTTCGTCGACCCGGGCACACCCGGGGCCATGTTGAGCTACCATGTACGTACCTGGACCCAGGTACCGTGTACGTACCTGGACCCAGTCTGCCAGGCTGCCAGGCTGTCAGCAGCTGGTGTCAGCCTCAAGACCCAAACTGCCCCATGACGGCTGCAATGTGGCTGATGAGCTCGTCGGTACTTGGAAACGGGAACCCTCCGAACCCTCCATGTCAGCATGTACTGAACTTGATGTACCTAGATTCCATGGCGAGTCTTTATAAACCGTAAGGTCAGGTAATAAATAGGTAGTGCATGAATTGAGCTTCTCAGCTCCTATTAGCAACAGGATCTGGACTCACCCATGACTGATCCGGTGCCTGCCATGACACAAGTCCCTAACCATTCCAATCTTGTACCCCCATCCACCATCCCCCATCTCTATCGTGTCATACCTTTCGCTTTGACTCGCTACCCCTCAACCGTCATTCCTTAGCTCACACGTACCCAAGTTAATTATATCTTTAGATCATACTTGTTGTCAAGATGCACACATGAAATGGAGCCGTTTTGCGAGGACATGAACCAGGGAAAGCGTACATGAGACATGGCGGCAGAAGGTTTGCGTTTGACATGCATGCCTCAACGGCAGCTACGACCGGCGATCGTGCGGAGTAGCAGCACTCCAGACAACCTCCAGCCGGATCGCTCAACTCAATTTAGAATACACAGGTACCTAGAAACAACAACACGACCACATTCACAGCTCTGGCCTGACCACGTTTCATGTTCCCTGCTCGGGACACTCAATCGGCTGCCAGACATTGCCGGCTTGTCACCAAAGTCGCAACCAGACCCATCACGTCATCACCATGCACCTCACGCCTTGCCTCGTGCTCTCTGTCCTGGGGTTAGCCAGCTTGACACAACGGTCCTGCGCCCAAGATGCACGCAAACCAATCCCTTACAAGGTTCAAAAGCCGCCCCTCGACACGCCTTGGACCTACAAGGTCGGAACAGACTCATGGCCCGAGCACCCCCGCCCGCAGCTTGTCCGCGACGCCTGGCAGAGCCTGAACGGGATCTGGACGTACCAGCCGGCAGAAGAGAAGAAGGGCGTCAAATTTCTCCCGGGACGCCCTCTGGAGCGCGAGGTCCTCATCCCGTCGTGTATCGAGAGCGGCCTGTCCGGATTGCAAGAATTGAACGTCACGCGGATGTGGTTCGCAACTACATTTAAGGTCCCTGCACACTGGGAAAGGCAGATGGTCTTGCTTCACTTTGAAGCGGTAGACTATGAGGCCAAGGTTTTTGTCAACGGTGAACGTGTTGGCTCCCATGTCGGAGGATATTCTCGCTTTAGTCTTGATGTCACTCGACATCTGCGGCCTGAGGGGGCGAACGACTTGTAAGCATAGCACATGGCAAGAACCTGTTGTTACGGGCTATACCCGAACGACCAGCCCCTTACACCTGTCATCTGAGGACTCTGCCATGCTGACGTGTTCACAGACTTGTTTACGTTCATGACCCTACAGACGTGAAACCGCATGTCATCCCCGTCGGCAAGCAATCCAAAAATCCGCGGCATATCTGGTACAGGCCTTGCTCGGGTATTTGGCAGCAAGTCTGGGTCGAGAGCGTGCCGGTGAACCACATTACACAACTGGACATTGAAGCAAACATGGATGGCAAATGTTGGTCCATAGCCTTCTAGGCCTGGCTGGGCCACAGAGAAAACTGACATGCAACAGTGGTGGTCTTTGCCCACAACTCGCAGGCGCAGATATCCCCGCATGTCGAGGTGTCTGTCTACGATGCCGACGGCAAGCTTGTAGTAAAGGGCTCGGGCCAATCCAATAGTCCCTTCGAAGTCCAGGTCAAGAGCCCTCACCTGTGGTCTCCTTCTCACCCGGTGCTCTACCGGCTTTCTCTCACAATGGGCAGTGACCAAATTTCTAGCTACACTGGATTTCGCAGCATCTCAACAGGTGTGGTCGATGGAATCCCCCGACCACTCCTGAATGGCGAGTTCATCTTTCAATTTGGAACCCTGGACCAAGGATACTGGCCAGATGGTCTCTACACGCCGCCAAGCCGCGACGCCCTCATTTATGACCTGCGCGTGCTCAAAAGCCTCGGATTTAATATGCTGCGCAAGCATGTAAGCCATCCCAAGCTGCACCAAAAACATCGCAGAGCCCCACCTAAAGTTCATGTCCTGCAGATCAAAATTGAACCTGATTTGTTCTATCACGCCTGTGACGAATTGGGACTGATGGTGGTGCAAGACATGCCAAGCTTGCCACCAGACGATGCAGGCACGGGTCATCCGGATGCTGCGCAGCAGGAAGAATACCAACACCAGATAGAGACGATTGTTCAGCAACACAAGAATTTCCCCTCCATTTTCACATGGGTAAGCAACAACGAACACTACAGATGTGGGAAGAAAGCTGATGACGCGGTGTTTCCAAAGGTCATCTATAACGAGGGCTGGGGGCAGCTGCGGTCTCCTCCATGGCCGGAGGAGAAGCTGGTTGATATCATACGCGGCCTCGACCCAACAAGGCTCATTAATGCCGTGAGCGGATGGTTCGATCACGGATTCGGTGATTTTGCGGTACGTTTTCGTTTCGCCTGATGTTTGCGCACCTCGTCAAGTCTCGTGCTGATCCTGCCAGGACAACCATCATTACACAGGCCCCCAGTGTGGCGTACCACCTTACGACACGCGCCGCGTCTCCTTACAGGGCGAGTTCGGCGGCATCGGACACAATGTCTCGATCGAGCAGTGCGTTCCACTTTCCCCGCGTCTCGTTTCGAGGAAGAGCCCGGGAAATACTGACACGACCCCAGTCTGTGGAACGTCAAGCAGGCCATAGACGGCATTGATGAAACGTACGAAATTGTGAAGGATCTCAAGGCGTACAATCAACGATCAGGCGACCTGCTTCATGAGCTCCGGCAGCAGATTGAGCAGCACGCCTGCAGCGGCGGGGTCTGGACGCAGACGACCGACGTCGAGGGCGAGGTCAACGGGCTGCTGACCTATGACCGACGCATTTTACGACCGAACATAGGGCAGTGGCGGAAAGATATCGCGGCTTTGTATGAGGCTGCGAGGGTAAGGCTTGGAAAGATGTGATTCACTGATCAATTGGTGAGCACGGTACCCAGGAAGAAAGGATGCTTGTTTGGTAATCTTATCCGTCTCAAGCATTCTGTAAGTGGGACAGATGTGCTCCGATCCCAGGCGGGGATAGATGAAAACCCACATGTCATGCGAGCGAGAAAAGGTTTGCGGCTCAACAACATTGCAGAAAAAAGTAGATGAGGCTAGAAGGAGAATTCTGGGAGATGACGACGCGAGTAAAGATAGCTTGAAGCGGCTGAGATGGAATGACTCTCTGCTGCTACTCATGTTTGGTGCATGTACGTCTGCCGCGCGTACCTACCTCTCCCCACACGACATGGCGGTGGCTCATCAAGTTGCAGTGCAAGCCATAAGCATAAGACAAAGACGGGACGGGACTAGCCAGAGAAACGTTGACAAGGTCACAGCTCCTTGCTTTGATGGTCCGGGGCACCTAACCCAGGTGAGGTAGTAACATTCACATCTCATCATGAGGGCCTCGGCGGGAGTCGTCATGGGGGTTTGCCGATTACGTTGCCGCACCGCCGCAGGAGGGGAGCAGCGGCAGGGGCCTGTGCCGGCTCCTCTTTACTGTTTTTGAAGGTTGACAGAGGTTCGTTCGGGGGCCTGTCAGAGCCCGTTGGGGCCTGGCAACCTGGGAGGGGCCTGGGAGGGGCCTGGGAGGGGCCTGGGAGGGGCCTGGGAAGGGCCTGGGAAGGGGCCAGGATGGGGCCAGTGGATGGGCTGTGGAAACGAATGGCCCGGTGTCGTCGTCGTCGATTGGCTCGCATCTGCCCCACCGGTTTGAAGATTAAACGTCGTCCGTCACTGCCGCGAGGCCCTTTGGCTTTGGGGCCCTCCTGCCTTCAGACTAGGTACCTAAGGTAGGTACCTTACCAAAGGTAGGTAGGTAGGGTCCGTAGGTACCGCACCTAAAAACCTTAGCTTGCCGGAGCAGACGTTGACTTGACTCTTACTGACCAAGGGGCATCCAACATGAAGGCCATAGTATCCTCTTCATCCCCTTCTCCGTCGCCTTGGCTCGACTCGACTCGAGTTTGGACTTCTGGATGACAATCTATCCGGTTCCTGATCGACTGTCGGTCCCAATCACATCATTCCGTTTCTTGTTACCTTCCTGACCTGTACGCAGCGCGCGCACGCAGTGGTCTCCGCCTCCCCCGTCCCTCCTTCGACTGACCTGACCACCTTGAGGCATTCACGATTCACGACGGCTTTGCGTGCTGTGATCCCCCCCGCCGCGTCTTGGAGACGTCCCGAGTGCCGAGACATCCATCGGGCCAACCCCACATACACTCTCGGCCATGGCCCATGGTACCAAGGTCAGAACTGGCTGCCTGACGTGCAAGTTCGTATACCCTTATTTCAGCCCTATGCCACATGGCGCCGACAAACACCACCCATCTTCCATCTGATAACAGGGATCGGATGGCATAATCCGACGACCTGATCTCTGCCTTGGCCTAAACCGGACTGACAGCCACGCCGCAGGAAGCGCAAGATCAAATGCGATGAGGCGAAACCTGCATGCGCCCGATGCACATCCACCAGCCGCCAATGTGCCGGATACGAGATGGAGCACCAGAGGTCTCCCCAGGAGCGTAGTCTCGCTTGGTACCGCCCGCATCAACTGATTGCCCACGATCAGAAGGAGGGCCGCGCCTTTCATTACTTTGCCCGTGTTGTCGGTCCCGCTCTGTCCGGACCCCAAGATGCATACTTCTGGACACACCTCGTCATGCAGTTCGGCCACTTTGCCCCCGCCGTACGTCACGCTGTACTCGCCATCAGCTCGCTGCACGAGGACTTCCAGAACGGCAAACGCATCACGAGCGAGCTGCCAGGGAACCCCTTTGCGCTGAAACACTACAATGCTTCTCTGCGCCATATCCAGGCCGCCCAGGACGAGAGTCTTGTTCTCCTGACCTGCGTTCTCTACCTATGTGTTGCTTTTCTGCTCGGCGACATCGACTCGGTCACCCGCCACTGCAGATATGGCATTGCCATCATCGCAGAGTCGGGATGCTCGGGCTGGGCGCGAGATCACCTGCTGCCCATCTTTCGCCGCCTGCACGCGTCTCCCTTTGCCGCGCGAGCATTCCGCCAAGGGGCCGCCTTGCCGCTCGACTTTGACATGACGAGCGATCTTGCCAACACGCACCCCTTTGTCACCGTCTTGGAGGCCGAGGCATCCCTGTGTGACCTCAAAAACCGCACGCACGAAATTGCCCCAATAGGCCCCAGCTCCAGGCAAGCGCGCCTGAATCCTGATCCAGCACTACGGGCCCACTGCAAGGTCTTGCTCGACCGGTGGTTCGATCGCGTCACGCCCCTGCTCGAGTCGCCTGCCTCCAGCCCTGCCGAGCGCTGCCTTTTGTGCCACCTCCGCGCTTCGCACGAGATGCTGAGGATCCTCGTCGACATTGGCGGTGAAGGATCTGAAATGTCGTTTGATCGGCACACCGAGTCGTTCCGGACAATAATGGAACTGGCAGAAGAGGCGGCAGCGCTCAAAGTGGCTCCTCTGGTATCGCGCCAGCCGCAACGAGCCTGCTTCACGTTCGAACCCGGCCTGCTGCCCATCCTGGCCTTTACCTCGCGCAGGTGCCGTGACCTGCCAATCCGCCTCAAGGCGCTGACGTTGATGGGGAACATCGTGGCGGCCAAGGAAGGGCTCTTTGATGTCGGCACCATGTACAGGGTCGGCCGACGCGTCACTGAGATGGAGCACGGCATGTCACTGGAGGACTGCGTACGCGCAGTCGAGGAACGCGATGTCCCCTACCCACCCGAGGCGATGCGAATTTTTGCCGCCGACTTTGACCGCAATCTCCGAGTGCTGAAAGGGCCAGACGGACAGATGACGTACCGCAGGTCGATCAACATGCTGGTCCGGACGCCGGAGGGCCCTCGAGTCGTAGCATCCGAGTATCTCACCGACGACATGCCCATTCATTGTCCTGGCATCCCTAGCATGCGATCAGCCTTGTTCAACTCTTCAATCGAGGCGGCATAGGCGGCCGATGATGGATGCATTGGGTAGACGACAGATTCGTCCGAACCACGAAATGTGTTGACGCAAGTCAGTTTTGTTCTTGCACCACAAAGGGGGATCGCGGCCTTTTCACATCTTTGGACCCATGTAGCAACTTGTCGAGTCAGGGCCAGGGGTCGGCACACCCCCACCAAGACCGACGGGCTGGGTTCGGGCCCGGTGGGGCTGTTGCGAGCAGCTCCCCGGCATGCCGCCCGTCGATGCTTGTTCGCGATCACCCCCACTCCATCCGAGCAAGGGGCGGCGCAAGAATGCCATACATATCAGCCTGAGAGGAACGCCGTGGGGCTGATGGACCTGACCACGCGTATTCGGACGTCAGATGCGCACGTCGACATCGTGAGGCGAGTGGCTGGCCTTCCTCCGCCGATAACTTAGCTACAAGCAGCACGCACGTTATCTTGGCCTATAAGGCTGATGTTCACTGCTTCTCGCGGCATCCAAAGTCACCAAAGCTTATTTTGTAACTCCAGCTGATACCCAAGTCCATATTTTATCTCATTTTCCTCTGCCTGCAGCCTCAATTTATTCATGGCCCCTCCATGGAAGTTCACGTGTGCCCTCTGGGCTCTCGCCTCGACCGTCTCTTGTGCAGCAGCGCAGGCCACCTCCCTTACTGAACTCTGTTCCACCTCGTTCGCTCAGTCATCACTGCCTGCTGCTGACTTCTTCCCGGGACTCACAATCGATGCGGACTCGGTTGAGACGACACTAGTGAGGAACGCATCCGCTTCGAGCGAGTGGTATCCAACTGCTTCTTTCGACTATTGCAATATTACATTCGCCTATTCACACGATGGTATGACCGATGGCGATTGAGTCCATGTAACCTACTGGGCTCCGGCTCCGGAAGCATTCAAGAATCGATACGTGTCGACAGGGGGAGGCGGCCTTGCCATCAACTCCCAGAAGGCTGACATCCCGACGGGCGTTATTGTCGGTGCGCTCTCCGGCATCGCTGATGGTGGCTTTGGGTCGTTTGACTCCCAGTGGGACAGCGTCTTTCTTCTTGCCAACAACACGATCAACTGGCAGTCCGTCTACATGTTTGGCTACCAAGCCCACCATGAGCTCGCAACGCTGGGCAAAGAGTTCGCTCGCAACCTCTACGCCGTAAACGTGACGGAAAAGGTCTTTTCCTACTACCAGGGTTGCTCAGAAGGCGGTCGCGAAGGGTGGAGCCAGCTTCAGCGATTTGGTGAGCAGTTTGACGGTGCCGCCATTGGAGCCCCTGCTTTCCGCTATGGCTAGCAGCAGGTGAACCATCTCACGCTCAATGTCATGGAAATCGAAGCCGACTACTTCCCGCCGTCGTGTGAGCTCGACAAGATGATCAACTTGACCATCGCCGCCTGCGACCCTCTTGACGGCTTTACCGACGGCTTCGTATTCCGTTCTGACCTTTGCAAGCTTCATTTTGATACAATGTCCATGGTAGGCGAGGCCTACTCGTGTGAGGCCACGACTGGAGGCTCGGGTGGAGATTTTGCAGAGCTGGCTCGGCGACAGATGCCGTCACGCGCCACGCCGGCGCAAAGTGGCACCGTCACAGCCAAAGGTGCGATCTTGATGAAATCTTTTTTCGATGGCTTGCGCGACTCGGAGGGACGCCTCGTATACATCAATGCTCAGCCCGGATCCAGCTTCAGCGACGCCGCGACTACGTTTGACGAAGATGCTGAAACGTGGGGTGTCAGCATCTCGGGCCTCGGCGGTGAGTGGGTTGCACGATACCTCCAGCTGCAAGACGCCAACACTATCGCGAGCCTCGACAACGTTACCTTGGACACGCTCAAGGAGTGGATGATCCTGGGCCAGAACAAGTATGGTGACTCGTTGCAGACGACATACCCAGACCTTGCCGACTTTCAGGCGGCCTGCGGCAAGGTGATCCACGTGCACGGTGAAGCCGACGACTCGATCCCGGCGGGCTCTTCGGTGCACTATTTCGAGTCGGTGCGCAGCGTCATGTTCCCGTACGTCAGCTACGAGGATGGCGTGCAGCAGCTGCAGGACTTTTACAGGCTCTTTCTCGTGCCTGGCGGCGCGCACTGTGGGAGCAACTCGGCGCAGCCTCGCGGGGGCTGGCCGCAGTCGACGCTGCAGACGGTCATCGAGTGGGTCGAGGGCAAGACGTCGCCCGACACGCTAAGGAACACGGGCACGAATGCTGAGCTATGCCCCTGGCCCCTGCGGCCGATGTGGTCTGGCAATGGCACCGAGGCCGAGTGTGTCAGCGACGCAGCGGCTGTAGCGACGTGGCAGTACGACTTTGATGCGTATAGGGTGCCGTTGTACTAGATCTTTGATCGAATCTAATGCTCGTCACTGATGAATTGGCTTGCGACGCGCATGATATCTAGCCTTGCTGTGCTGAACACTGTGCTCTCCAACGCGCGTGATCGATGTGACGAAGCGGAGGTGCGTAAAGTCTAGACTTTAGCCATTTCCGCTGCGGATGTCTCTGAGGGAGCCGTGTCGTCGAAGTAGGAACCCTAGCTATCTAGTAGGGAAATTCCGTCTTTCTGGCCCTGGTCCCGGTTCTCGCTGCTCACCGATTCCACTCACCAATCCCGAATCGGGCTTTCTTCAAATGTCTCCTGGTACGGGGTTCGCGTTGAAGATCAGGTGCTTGCTGAACAGCATTGAGCAGGGCCGTCGTCGGCAGCCCGTTCTCGGGACATGGGCAGATCTACCGTCCCAGAACCGAAGAGCCAGGTGCCTCATCCCTCAAGGCGGAAGGAGGTACGAGATGAATGGCCTCGATGATGCTCCATCGCTTGGCCGAGATTGTGTTCCGGCGTTCCGCCGCTGGTGGCGTAGCTGTGTTTATCCTGTGCCGTTTTTTGGCAGTGGTTTGACATGGAGTGGACGTAAGGATCCCCGTCCCGGCGGTGTTTTCTTTTTTTGATGGCGTGCTTTTCGTACCTGGCAGTCTTTTCAGCTTTGGAAAATGATGCTTCTCTTTTCTCGGGGAAGCCCTTTATTCCGTGGCCGATGCGCTTTTTCCTAATTTGACATTCATAATCGTTTATATTCATCGTCTTGCGCTACCAGATGCTTAGAGTCTTTGACGGTGTGTCTACGATTGTGAGTTCCGATGTGGTCCGATTAGGGGCTGAGGGCGACGAGAACGTGGATATAAGGACCGCGAGGGCCTCCAAGCTGCGGAGAGCCATGGTTCAGATGTAACCCGACACCATACCTATATTCTGTGGCTGTGGACCACATCTGGATGACATCTTCATTCTGCTCTACATCAAATACTGACAGCGGCCATGTTCTCGGATTTTCCGTTGGTGTAAGCACGAGGGTGGATGCCGGGCTTCCTAATGACTAATAGCACCAGTAGATAGGAATAGGCACTCAGGCGGCCTCGGTTGTCATGTATCCAGCATGAAGGCTGAACGTCAGATAGCCAGCGTGGGCATGGTTGGAAGTAAAGGCCCTAACATTCCATCGCTGTCAAGCGATAGCAGTCTGCTCATCCTGTGATTTCTCATCCTGTGATTTGCGGTCTCGTTCTCAATACAATGTCTAACATCAAAGAGGGATTGTTGAACCATTTGCATGTCAAGTTTGAACTCCCATTTCAGGCCTATAAGATCCGCGAAAACATTGAAGATTGCAGAACTGTACCTCTCTCTCTACAATTATGAGTGCGCGAGGCCGACTGGCTTAGCCCAAGGCAAACTGGCTCCCGAGTGACCTGCACAAAACCCCAGAATTGTCACCGAGAGCTGTGGCTTACTGGCAACGGCTAGGATCGGCCTCAGTCTCAAGTACAGACAACCGGGGACAACAAGTTGCCTCGAAAAAGACCAGGTTCTCCTCACGCAGACAAGGCAGACAACGCAACGACGTCTCGCCTGCACTGCACCGCCAAACCATGCATCTCTAGCTTTGTTTCCTCTCCAGATCGGCCCTTGCCGCGGTGGCGTCGTAAGTCCCACCACCCCCCCGGGCCTTTCCGTGAGGGGGGCGCGTCTTGAAAACCCGGCCACTGCCAAGAGGCACCACAGGACTTGCGACCTTCCACTTCCGGGCTGGCTCTCGCCGATCGCCCGGCTCGGCGCCCGGCTCGGCGCCCAATGGAGGACCGTGCGTTGCGTTTATCGCATCGACGGTCACCTACCCGATCCAGATCCAGGCTGACGGGCTCGGCGAGGGTCCGCTGCGTCGATCAGACTCGCAGGTCTTTGCGGGCAGCTGCGGTGCTTGGCGAGTTGGCGGGAGGGGAAAGGGAGTAGAACCATGGGCGAGGAGGTGAGACAAACGGCTATCAGTGGGTGGAACGTCGAAGGGTGGTCATCTTGTGGTGCTCGTGGATTATAAAAGCCAAGGTGGTTTGCTACGTCTCTCCCCTGTGGCTTGACTGTGCGCTACGCATCCAACGTCTTCTTCGCCGACACTTTGAGTTGTATCGTCTTTTGAGATTGACAACATGGTTCGGTCAGTCGTGCAACTTGGTGCCTCCCTAGGCCTGCTCGCCGCGGCGGCAATGGGCAAGGAGATGGCCGTAGATGAAGCGAGGGCAGCTGAGTTTTACGATTCGGGCGTGGTCCATGAAGAGATCATGAACCACAAAATGGTATGGATATTCAGATTCATCAATAGACATGCACCATGCTGACCGGAGAACAGGAGCTGTGGGCCGCGGAGAGGGAGTCTGGAGTTCGCAACAGCGACCAGTACCCCGAGCTTGGATACACGCCCTGTGTTGACGGCTGGATTGAAGCGATTCCCGGGGACCGCAACAACACCTTCAGGTGCTTCAATGTCTGTTAGGCCCAATTTCGGTGAATCTTGGCCATAGCCTGAGCATCTCGGACTGACCTTTTCCCCCCTAGTTTGATCTCACTCACTTCCTCAGTCACGGTGCCCTGGGCTCTTCTGGTGCTGGCTCTGGCTCCTGGGGATGGGTGTCCGATGACGGCCGTGAGTTTGTCGCCATCGGGCAAGAGGACGGCACTACCTTCGTGGAGATTACGAGCGAGGGCAAGATGGTGAAATTGGCTCACCTGCCTCAGGTCTCTGCCATCTCTGACTGGCGAGAGCTCCGCGGGTACAAGAACTACATGGTCATCGGGTCCGAGGCTGTCGCACACGGCATCCAGATCTTTGACATGACGAGGCTTCTCGACATTGATGTTGAAACGACGGGCCCCGTGCAGTTTGATGCCATCAGTGACCTCGCTGGATACACCAATGATCTCCCCATCGGTCGCAGCCACAACGTTGTGGTCAATGAGGAGCTCGACTACATTGTCGCGGTTGGAGCGCAGCCGCGCAACGACTCGTGTCTTGCTGGCCTCATCTTCTTTGACATTTCCGAGGGAGTCGAGAACCCCAAGCGACTTGGCTGCGCTGCCGGCGACGGCTACGTTCACGATGCGCACTGCCTCGTCTATCGTGGTCCCGACAAGAGGTATGACGGCAAGGACATCTGTTATGGGTACAACGAGGACTCTTTAACCATCTATGATGTCTCGGACAAGTTCACAACCAACATCATTTCGCGTACCTCATACGAAGGTGTCAACTACACGCACCAGGGATGGGTCACCGACGTCAACAACCAAGAGTTCCTCCTGATGAACGATGAGCGTGACGAGCGCTATCGGGCAGGGCCAGCTTCTGACCAGTTCCCCGTCGTCTACATCTGGGATATTCGCGACCTCGCCAACCCAAAGCAGACAGGCATCTACAAATACAAGACCAAGGCCATCGATCACAACCTCTACATCCGCGACGGCATTGCTTTCCAGTCAATGTACGGCTCGGGGTACAGTCTCCTCGATGTGTCCTCGGTCGGACCATCGGATCCTACCGGCTCCGGCATCTGTGAGGCCGCCTGGATCGACATTTACCCCGAGGATGACAACCTACCCGGTGGCGGCATTGTCGAGTTTGTCGGTTCTTGGTCGTCGTACGGCTGGTTCCCCTCCGGACACCACTTCATCAACACGATCGAGCGCGGCGCCTTTGTTGTCAAGCCGACGAGCCTCAAGTGCCCGCCGCCGCCCGTCTGCAACGCCGACAACTGCTTGCGTGCCTTGCGCAGCAACAGCGTCAAGGGCCGGCTCGAGGAGAGCCAAGATTTCTGCGCCGGGTACACTGCCAACCTGATCAAGGAGTCATCGGTGCTCCCCGCCTACGCCCAGAAGGCCTGCACTGGGGATGCCGTGTCCCGAGTGAGCAGTGCTTGCTCCTGCCTGCCAACCCCTACCGGTGTTTAAGGGTACATGCTGGGCGTCGTGGGATAGAATAGATTACGATTAGCTAGCTGTGGTATCTTGGCAGCCTTGCATTCTTGATCATCTTTGTCCCCTCCGAAGCACACTAGACCACGTCAAGGCGCAGCAGGGCTCTCGGAACCCTTGACATGCCTCTCCCGAAAGCCGGCGAGCCAGTGGTCGCTTTCGGCAATGGTCCAGTCAAAGGGGTCCGCCGAACCGTAGACGATCCTTCTAGACTCTTCACGGAACATCTCATCCGTCGGTACGATACCCATGCGCATCTGATGCCGCGCGAATCGGCCGAGGTGCACCGCCAACGTGTCGTGGAAGGTGGCCGGCAGCGCCTCGCCGGAAGACTGCTCCATGCCCGCCGCCGTCGGGTAGGCGTCTTCGGCGCCGCCGCCCCTGTCGGCCGTCTGCGCGCCCTCACCGGCCCAGCTCTCGGAGCCGGCCATTCTGTTCTGGTTCTTGATAATCTCGTGCACCTGCGACAGGTGGTCCTTGGTGCCGGGGTCGGTCGACGAGAAGGGCACGGGGGCGCGCGACTCGAGGCCGATGAGGTAGGGCGGCAAGTCGTTGACGACGCGGGCGGCGATCTCGGGGTCGAACCCGTGCTCGCCGACCCAGTCCTGCATCAGGGCGCCGGCCTTGAAGTGACGGGCCAGGTGCTCGACGCGTTCGGGCCACGAGGCCATGCGGGCGTCGCAGAAGCCGCAGCGCGCCGCGACGGCGGGGGCCTCGACCTTCCAGCCGTCGATGAGGGGCGTCGTCTCGAGCTTGTGCGCGAGCCGCAGGTGCTGGATGAGATGGTCCTTGCGCGTGAAGACGTGCGGCGCGCCGTGGGCGGCGCAGCTGTCGTGGTTGTGCGCCGCGAGGTGGCTCGGGTCCGGGTCGAGCATGTTGCAGTAGGCGCAGTGCGAGCGGCCCGTCGCCGGCGAGACGACGACGCCGCCGTGCGGGCAGCAGACCCACGACTCGAGGGACAGGTGGAGAGACTTTTCGTGCCGCGCCCAGTCGTATTTGCTCTTGAACGTGTCGCAGCAAAAGGTGCACTGGAAAGGCCGCCGGTCCTTGGGTGCCTTGCCCGGGAGGTTCGGGCTGCGGTCGCGCTTCGGCCGGCCGATGCGGTTGCCGCGGGATCCGGAGGACCGCCGCAAGGTGCTCGGGAGGTTGGAGGAGCGCGCCGATGTGACGGACCGCGACGAGTGGCTCGTTCGGCTGCCGAAACTGCTTTGCGACGTGGGTCGGCTGCCGCGCGGTCGACTGCTGCTGTTGTAGTTTACTGCCGCCGCCATGCCAGGAGCGTCGCGTTGCTGCTGGCGGAGAGCGCCGGCGATGGCCATGAGAGACGCCGCCTCGCTCTCTGGCGGCGACTCCTGCCATCGTTGCATGGGGTCGAGGGCGTTGTCTGTCATGGCCGCCGGTGTCGTCGGGATCGTGAGGGGCGTCGAAGACGAAGTCGCCGGCTCGCCGCTGTTTCGCAGATATCGACTTCTTCGCCGTGGCAACGTGGGCTGCCGATGGGAAGACATGAGAGGCCGCGGGCTGCCAAGGCTGGAGGGGTGGTTGAATCGTAGGGAATCGTTACTTCGTGTGCCCTGAGGCATGCGTGGCCTCGGCTCAGGAGGGGTGCTGCTATTGTTGATGTCGTTGCTGCTGTTGTCGAGCCAGGCATGAGGCATCTCTGGCGTTGCGCCTTGGCTGTGAAAGGAGGTCATGGGACCGTCCGGTGGAAGGGCATCAAACGATAGATCCAGGTTGTCAAAGGTGAGAGGTTCCCCCGAGTAAGACCCAGGATACGAGTGAGAAGGGTTCACGTCGAAAGGATGCATCGCCGACAGGCTCCCTTGGAGTTCCTCTGTGGTACCCATCATGCCCATTTCAGAAGGGAGTCCGAGTTGTGCTAGGTCCAGATCAGAGAAGTTCATGACTGTGTTTGCGTCGTCAGCATCG